AACACGATTGATATACTCCTCTTGAGATAACTGCAAAATTCCTCTTTGCTTATCTCTCGTGATTTGCATTCCAAAAATCTTCTTTGTTGGACCTAAGTCCTTCATGTCAAATTCTTTTGACAGCTGCATCTTTAGATCTCTAATCTCGTTCATATCTGCACCTGCTACTAACATATCATCAATATAAAGTAGCAAAATGATATAACTGGAGTTATACCTCTTGAAGAAACAACAGTGGTCAGCATTGCATTTCTGGAAGTCTTCCTTGTGCATGAAGCTTTCAAACTTCCTATACCACTGTCTTGGGGCTTGTTTCAGGCCATACAAGCTCTTCTTTAATCTGTATACCATATTTTTTTTTCCTTCTTCTGAGAAACCTTCAAGTTGATGCATGTAGATTTTCTCATCTAAGTCTCCATGAAGAAATGCAGTCTTCACGTCCAATTGCTCAAGATAAAGCTCTTCACTAGCCACAATACTTAAGACAGACCTGATAGTATTGAGCTTTACAACTGGAGCAAAGATTTCAGTGTAGTCAACTCCTTCTTTTTGCTGAAATCCTTTGACAACTAGTCGGGCTTTGTATTTCTTGGAGCCATCATGATCCTCCTTCACCCGATACACCCATTTGTTGTGAAGTGCCTTCTTTCCCATAGGTAACTCAGCTAGTTCCCATGTTTGATTAGAGATCAAAAACTTCATCTCGTCTTTCATAGCAAGCTCCCACTTGTTGGCATCTATAGTTTGACATGCTTCTTCATAATCTTCAGGCTCTCCTCCATCAGTCAACAACATGTAGTCCATGTATCTCTTGTTAGGCACATGAGGTCGAGAAGACCTTCTCAATACAGGAGTTGAAATAGGAGCCTCTGATATGTCAGACTGCTGCTTACTGTTCTCTTCAATTGATTCCTCTGACTGAGGATTCTCAACTACAGGATTTTCTGGGACATCATCCACTTCTGCATACACTGGCTCAATCTGTTCTACATTGTTGGCGCTTGTGCTATGCTTGTCCTTGTACATCACTCTTTCATTGAAGATTACATCTCTGCTGTGGATCATCTTTCTGTTTTCATCATCCCATAGGCAGTAGCCAAACTCATCTTCACCATAACCGATGAAAATGCACTTCTTTGATTTGGGATCAAGCTTACTCCTGCCTTGATCATTAATATGCACATATGCTATACAACCAAAAACTCTAAGATGTGAGAGTTTTACCTCTTTTCCACTCCATACCTCTTCTAGTATTTTGTGCTCCAATGGTACCGATGGACCTCGGTTGATCAAGTAAGCTACTGTGTTGACTGCTTCTGCCCAGAACTGCTTTGGTAAGCCTGACTGCACACGCAAGCTTCTGGCTCTTTCAGTCAACGTTCGATTCATACACTCAGCTATACCATTGTGTTGAGGCGTACCTGGCACGGTCCTCTCCATTCTGATCCCGTGCTCATAGCAAAACTTCTTGAATCTGGTGTCTTCATATTCACCACCATTATCGGTTCTAATCTTTTTAATCTTCAATCCTGTTTCATTTTCAACCATGGCTTTCCACATCTTGAAAGCCTCAAATACTTCAGACTTATATTTCAGAAAGTATACCCATACCTTTCTAGAGTGATCATCGATAAAAGTCACAAAGTATTGCTTCCCACTAATGGATGGAACAGATGTTGGACCCCAAACATCAGAGTGAACAAGCTCGAGTCTTTCCTTCTTTGGGGTTCTTCCACTTGTCTGAAAGCTAACTCGTTTTTGTTTTCCAAGTATACAGTCTTCACACATGTCAATTTCTACTGACTGAAGACCTGGTAGCTTACCGTTTGAGTGCATGATTTTCATCCCTTTCTCACTCATATGGCCTAGTCTCTGGTGCCATAGATTGGGATTTTCATTTGCTGCAACTGCAATCAGATGACATGCTCCTGTTGTCTTATAAAGAGTACCACTCTTTTTGCCACGAGCAATTACCATTGCACCCTTTGAAATCTTCCAGTTATCACCGTGGAAGACTGTTGTGTAGCCTTCACTGGCCAACTGGCTTACTGAGATTAAGTTCTTTGTCAGGTCGGGAATATGTTTGACATTTTTCAATTCCCATACAGACCCGTTCAACTTAACCTTCACTACACCTTTACCCACAATCTCACATGATTGGTAGTTACCAAGGTAAACTTTACCAAGGTTTTCGGGAACATAGTTCTTGAAGAATTCTTTCTGTGAAGTGGCATGAAAAGATGCTCCAGAGTCTAACACCCAAGACTCTTCCTTGCTCTCTAAAGAACATATCAACGCATCATCTCCTCCAGAGGTGGAAGCAACACTTGCCTCGTCTTTCGCCTCCTGATTCTTTCGTGCATTCTTGCACTGATTCTTGTAGTGCCCGGACTTCCCACAATTCCAACACTCGATTGCCTTCGATTTGTGGGAACTATGATGACTTTTGGATTTGGACCTCCTGTCCTTTGATTTACCACGTCCATTTCCTCTTATTGAATTCTTCCTCTTGACTCTGTATGCAATACTGAAGAGGTTGATGATTCTCCTGACTCTTTTCGTCAGATTTCTTCATTGAAAATCAGATCACGAACGTCATTGAATTTCAATTTAGTGTCTCCCGTCGAACTACTCACAGCTGTGACAGTAGTCTTCCAACTTTCTGGTAGAGAGGACAAAAGTGCCAATGCTCGTACCTAATCATCGAATTCAATCTCAACTAAACTCAATTGGGTTAGGACTGTTTTGAGCTCATTTATGTGGTGCGCTACTGATGTGCCTTCTGTCATCCGAAGGTTGAATAACCGCTTCATCAAATAAACTTTATTTGAAGCAGACGGCTTTTCATACATGTCGGAAAGAGCCTTCATAAGATCCGCCGTGGTCTTTTCTTTTGCAATGTTGAAAGCAACATTACGGGATAACGTCAATCGGATGACTCCAAAGGCTTGTCTATTGAGAAGATTCCATTCGTCCTCTTTCATGCCCTCTGGCTTTGTTCCTGTGAGAGGTTGATACGGCTTTTTTTTATACAGATAATCCTCGATCTGCATCTTCCAAAAGTCAAAGTCTGTACCATCGAACTTTTCAATTTTCACCTTTCCTTCATCTGCGGCCATCACTCCCACTCAAATCTGACTTCTCCTCAGAATCGTTTCTGACAATTTCTGTATACCACTGTGTTTAGAACACGTCTGTGAACAAATTTGTAATGCTGACAAATTTTTTACTATTCACTATTCACGTGAACAGTACTTGCGAGTTTACTATTCATATGAACAGTACCTCACAAAAATTGCAGAATTTCGAACCAGCTCTGATACCAGTTGTTGAGAAAATTATGCTGAACTTTCTTGTAACGTCAGATTTGTGGAAGTGAAAAATAAATGTGGAATATTGCACACACAAATTGATAACGGAGTTCGGCTAATAATGCCTACGTCTCCGGACTACTGCAGATATTTTACTAAAGAAAGGGAATACACTCGGTGTTTACAAAACACTCAAAAAAATGACTCACAACCATTCACAACCTGTAACCCAATTGTACTCAGAAGCTAAATTATTTTCTCTGTTTTTGCTCTCTGAATATTTTCAGTTGTTCTGCTTATTTTGCCTTTCATTGTTTCCTTTATATAGGCAAATGAAACGCTCAATTTTTAAAAACGCGTTAGGCACCGAATTTTCAAATTGTACGCGTTTTCCTTTCTTCTTTGCATGTGTTTTTTTTTTTTTTTTTTGACTTTTCAACAATTAGTACATCCATTCGCACTAAAAATTTGAAGTTTATCAAGATGCCCAACTGAATCATGAATCTCAATCAAACTTTTGCATCCATCAATGGTCAATTCTTTCAAGGAGTGACATTCTCCATTGCATTCAGGAAGGGTTGTCAAAGTTGAGTTTTGTGCAAGTAATTTTTCCAGATTGGGAAAGACCTTTGGCAACAATAATAAATTGGGCAAGACATAGCTTTCAATCATTTTGCATTTACTCATGAATAAGCCTTGAAGGGTTCTAAGATTGCGCATTGAAGGTGGCAAATTTTCAAAGGCAGTTCCTCCCAAATCAACAAATTTTAGTTTCTCCAATGGACCTAATACTGAAAAATAGCAAGATCGGCATTCTTTAAGATCGATCATCACTCTAAATTGATTATGCAAATTTAATAATAGTTTTAAAACTCCTTCCTTTATACCTTTTAAAATAAATAAAAATGAGAGGATTGAAAATGTGCTTTCTAAGTGAAGATAAACCACAGAAAAATGAAGTTGTTCATATTGTTATTGTTATTTATTAAATTAATCGATTAATTAGGATTAAAAGCCTTTTTTATGAATTAAAACTTAACCTTTTTATTTTCTACACATAAAACATACTCGTAGAAAATTGATAAATTGATGCACCAACACAAGTGATTCTGTACTGTTTGATATATTTTATTGTTTTAACAAATGGATGAGATATAGATGACATATAAATTGCAACTTCATCCTTCTTCTTTCTCAAAGGATAAAACTGAGCAACACTCCACAAAACTACCTCAATCTTAGGATCAACAAATGTTTAGCTGAATCGTAGGAGAAATTATTTGTGATTCTGAAATGAGGTAATTTTTTGCTGAACATATATACTAACCCCAAATTTAGGACATGGGTAGGTAAATAATTATCAATGTGGTTGATAAACAGAAAAACGAAAAATTGGACCTTAATTTGAGTTCAACTTTACTATTAATCATTGACTAGCCACATTAGAAGAGGCACAGTGCATCATTGTCACTATTTTGTTTACAACATGGCATAGTTACTTTATTTTCACTTTACTCCTTGTATATGGAAACATTCACTATCTCTTGTATAAATAATTTAAAACATGGAACAATATAAAAATAGTATAATATTTTCATAATTATTAATGAAAATATTTCCTCAAATTAAACAAAATCACTTTTCTTTATTCTTAAAATCCACTGAGCAGAACCAGCTAAAAGATTGTTTCTACAATCTGCTTGCAATTTGAGGATTGGATCTATCAGGAAGTTGCAGATCCAAATCTTCGTCATTGATACTTCTAAAGCACTGATCCACCATTTCTTCGCTAACCAGCTCCAGCTTTGAAGGTTCCCACTAGTTAATAAAGTAAAAAAGAAAGCACATTGATAAACTCATATTCGTATATAACATAATAATTTAAATCTATGTTTGTTTTTGGTTAATAATCAAAATCTATCTTGAAAGCTTAACAGAGATACTGTTAAATTCTTACCTTTGGCTGCTTGTCTTTATCAAACAGCTTTGCTCTTGAACCCTTTGCATGTGTTAAAGTTGAAGAAATTGGGTAGAAAAAAATCGGAGTTATTAGTTACAAAAATTAAATTAACATGCACGCGGACAGACAAATATACGTGAGATTTAACTTTGTTCTTTTTTTTAAGTGAAAAGATATATAAAGGTGAACATTTATTTACCGTTGATCTAAAGTTAAATATATTTAGAATATATTTAAATTTAAATTAAAAATGAATAAATCTTTACTTTCTTAATTTATATATCTTTTTACTTTAAAAAAGCTAAATCATTCTATGTACCATCTTCAAGGAACATAAGCAAAAGTTTATGTACAATTAACCTCATAACTATTTCTAAAAGGAAAAAAAAAACCACAAATTGTACAGAATTACCAACTCTATACAGAAAATTCAGAAACATGTCATAAATTTACTGTTCAGAAATATTTTGTTTTGCTTGACTAAAGAGAGTTGTTCCAAAACAATTACCTCGTAAAAATCATTGCTAACAGTTCTTCTGACGATGTGGGCGCCAATGGTGTAATCCCGGTAAAGACATTGTTCAATATTTTGCACTCGGCCTATTCTGATCTAATAAGGAATTCAAGATTTTTAAGATTCTTATTAATTATATTCATAAAGATTATAATAAGTAAACAAGATTTTTTTACTTACTGATTTCAAAAATATTTTGAGGCTCAAGGGACTAGCCGATCGCATGGAGTTTAATGCAATTGTGATCCACTCTTCTGCTGCATTTTCTGATTCCTTTTCCTAAACATCAAAGTAATCATATGATTCAAATGATATTATATACCAATTATTCAGCCCTGTTGAAGGACTACACAATATTGCAAATTAGCACACAAAGAATAAAATGCTTTTTCATATATGCTAACCAAGCATGCAATAATTTCCTCCACTGATCCTTTTGAGAAACATTTGTTTATAGTCTCCAATCTGTTAAGATAATAAAATTTTACGTTAGTAGATTAATAATAAATAAATAAATGATTGTAAGTAAGTGGGTTATAAAACTAAATAGCTTTGAAATTGTTTATAGTTTTTCATTGTTTACCACTTTAATTACCTTCTAAATGAGCTGCATTCCTTCACAACTGCTATCTCCGTGAATGTTTCTATAACTGCGGCAATTGGTGTATTGGAAGAAGTAACAGTTTGTAGGACATTTTCTAGTATATTTAGCTTCTGTTACACGAGAAAAAATAAAATAAAAAATCGATTGAATTGAGATATAAGAAATTCAATTATTTTTGTTCAGATAAACATATCTTTTAACTATTTCAAAAATTAAATTGAGGGTTTAGTTATTTTTTAAAATACCCTTCATGATAAGAAAACAAATTTTAAATTTTTTTTATTTTTAACTTTAGTGTGGATTTTCAAATTTTAAAATATGTTTAAAATTGATTTTCAAAAATTAAATTCTAAAACTTATATAAAAAAATGGTTTTGAAAAAGTTAAGTTTAGAAACATGCATAAAAATCTTAGTTCCAGAAGAGTGGACTCCTAATTCTTAAAATTTATTTTTCAAAAAAGTTAATAATTCTGAAAATTAATTTTCAGAGGTATGAAAAACTAATTTTTGAAAGAGTAAAATTTTAATTTTAAAAAAGTCAAATTTTAATTTGAGAATTTTATTTGCAAAAATAGTTAATAATTCTAAAAATAAATTTCTGAAAGTATTAAAACAAATTTTAAAATTTTATCTTTGGAATTGTAGAATCTTGATTTCAAAAATTAATTTCTAAAGTGTTAGATTATAATTTCAAAATTTTATTCACAGTAAAGTGTCGAAGTTGATAGATTGACAGATACATTATAATATATTATTTAACGATAAATTAATTTTTTATAATACATTCAAAGAATGTAGTGATAAAAAAAAATGAAACTTAAAGCAAAATAGAGGAAGAACAAATGTAATAGAGACAAAGTAAAAAAAATAAAATACAATTTGAAAAAAATAGAAAAACTTAGAAGTTGTTAATTTATTAAAATATTATTATTTAATCATTCAAATATTTGTTGACAATATTATAAAAATTATTAATGTGTAAAAAGAAAAAAAAATGTGAAAAAAGCCACCAAAAATATTTGAGAACATCTTGTGCTCAAGCCCTTTTCGTTCTTTCTAGAAGAAAAAAAAAAATCCCCTTTCTTTCTTTAGCTTAATCCATGATTTCATTTGCTCATGAGAAAGTAAAGAAAAAACTTTTACAACAAATTAAAGTTAACCTCAGGATCTTTCCGTTAATGGAATCATATTATAATTAATTGAGAAATAATGTTAAATGTATTTTTACCACTGAAGGGACAAAATGAGTGGCTAAACCACATGCTACCATTTCTGCTCCATCTACCTGTGCCCCAGTCAACCCAACATATTCCCCTATCCAAAATAAATAAATAAATAAACAAAGATAAATAAATAAATAAAATTAGAAAAATGTTCCCTAATTAAAGGAAATTAGTAATTTGTAAGATGTAATTAATCTTGGTTACCAAAGTAGCCTGGTAGTCTAGAAAGGAAGTACGATGCACCCACATCTGGAAAAAGCCCTATAGATGCCTCTGGCATTGCAAATACCTACCAATAATCACAAAACCTTATTAAGCATGTGAAAGAAGAAATGCAATTAGCAATTATAGTAAGAATTTTATTTTAATACAATATTAATTTAAAAAATAGTTAATGAATATAATTTTTCTTTTGATTTGATAATTAGTTAATATATGATACAACATAACTATTTTCAACTAGTGACTATATTTAAAATAATGTAAAAAAATTCACTTGGAAATCTAAATCTAACTCTAATTATAGCAAGTTAAATCATACAGCTTTTTCAGTCACAACCCTGAACTTGGTGTTCATGGATAGACCTGCTCCAGCTCCCATGACCAATCCATTAATGAGAGAGACCTTATTTCAGAACAATCAAAACAAAATTATAAATGTGCAAATTCTTTGTAAGGAATCATAATTAAAACCATTAGGTACTTGACAAACTCACCAAAGGCTTTCTGTAGGTTGCTATAAAATACTCCAAAGTTAGCAGTTTCTTGTAAAACAGTGAAGAATAGGTCCAGTGTCCTGCTTCCATGCATGTAGAAGATCAACATTTGTAATAATAAATTACAAAGTAATTCACTTTTGTTACGTGTAGTGTAACCATAATAACATGTACATGTCAATATTTATTGTAATCAGTACAATCAAATTAACGATCAAATTAATTAGCCTAACACTCAATAATTTTTTTATTTTATATAACATTGAAATTATTCTCTATAATGTATAAGAGATTACATTAATCACTTTTAGATCAAGGATATTTGTTAACTAACTATTTTTCTAATGTCACGCGTAATATGTAATAAGTACGTAATCCTGTAATTTGTTTAAAAAGTTATGAACTGTTAATTTAACGCTTAGTTTGAATGTTTATATCAAATATTTTATATAAATTAAAAAATAATTATACTATATTTATATAGAATGTCTAGTATAAATACTGTTAATAAAAAAAAGTAGTGATTTGTAAAATATTCACAGCACCATATAAACTTAACCGATTAAACATATTGTTTATTGAGCAAGTCTTGGATAAATTGTACCTGCAAGAGAACAAGTGATTACTGATACTATATCGCCACCAGCAGAAAAAGCTTTTCCATTAGCCTATTAGATGAAAATAATTATGTATCAGATTATTCACACATAAACAAAAAATGAAGTCACATTCAATTTGGTATGGCCATTTCCCTAATCCAAAAGAAGATTCATTGAAATATTAATTACCTTCAATATCACAAGTTGCACAGAATGGTCGTTCTCATAGGCCTGTAAATTCTTTTTTATTTGACAAATCTGCCAATAGTGAAAGAAGATATTAAAATATTAATTACATTAAGAAATTTTTATATGTGCCTGTGTTTTTTGGGTGGGTGGGTGAGTAATTAACTTACCATGTCATGATTAAGGGTATTTAGCTTCTTAGGTCTGTTCAGAATCACTGTCTTTACATCGGAATTTCCAGTGAACAGTACCTTCAAACACGAATATACCATACAATTATACTAACAGCATATTAAAATTAAACTATGAAAATTATGAGTAAATAAAAAAAACTTAAATAAATTTTTGAATTTTTAAAATATATGAAATTTTAATTTATTTTAATTTTGTATTCTTATAGTTATTAATTTTAGTCTTTTTTTATCAATGCAATTTTTTAAAAAAAGTCAGATAACATAAAAATTTATATATAATAGTTAATCATATCATCAAATAATGATTAACAACTAAAATTAATATTTTTTTAAAATATAAGAACTAAAATTAAAATGATAGTCATAGAGATTAAAATTCAAATTTAATGTATTTGAATGGACAAAAATATATTCAATGCAAAATACTTTAACAGTAGAATATTAAAACCTGGTTTGCTTCTCCGTCAAAGGTGAAACTCAGAGCCATTATATTATATCGTCTTGCAGTGTAGTTCTGTAATGAAAAGATTTTATGAACGAGACATGCAATAAACTACTCAATATATAGCACAACTGACAAAGAACATGTTTCCATAGTAGTCACACGTTGGTGTGAATCATGCACTGAAATTAATGCAAATTCAGCATGAGATTGACAATATATCAGTGACGTGTTTGATCTTAATTCCCAAACGTCAATACCCATATTTTCCAAATTATTTTGTCTGAAATATTAACAATACTAGCTAGTTTAATGATATACGATTCATACCTTTGACTGAAAAACCTCTATCTTATCGAAAATCTTTGCACATAAATTAATTTGTTAACTCCTTATGACTCAAATAATTATTATAGATGACTGAAATGTTATCATCACGTGTATAAATATATAATCGTCAATGGTAGGATATATCGTTTTAACTAAGAATAGAATAAATAATTTTGTTTTCTTAAGATAGTTTTTAGAAATTAACAAGTTAAACTTGATCTATTTTTAAACAGTGTCAAATTCTATTTAATTTGAATGTGGAATAACTCATTAATATTTAATTTTATAAATTTTATGCTTTTAGTATGATGTTACTTATGTAAATTATTGAAACTTGAACTTCATCACAGATTAAATTAAAATTAAAATGGCACCAATTGGCATTGGTTCAAATAAAATTAAAATTTGACTTTTCATTTATAACAATTAAATTAGGCACGAGAATCAGGCATGTTAGTATTAACCAACAAAATTTTAGTTAATATCTGAAATTTTTGGCAAAATGATTCAATGAACTTGATGGTCGCTTCCACAAAGTTTTGTCTAAGAGTTTTTTTGGTATGGTAAACGTTCAAACATTTAGTCGAAAATAATATTCAAGTGTTTATGCTTAGAAATCGTTTCAACACTTCACAGGGATCTTACTAATATGGCATGAATTGCATGGTTCTTTATTTATTAAAAAAATTGTTAATTTTCAAACCAAGGGTAGCCAATCCAGTGGATTTTATTATGCAATAAATAAAATGCAACATATTATATGAAAAAATGTATTTATATAATTTTTTAATAAGGTATAAAATGTTATATAAATAATATAACATACTGTAACAATATTTTAATTTAGTTTTTTTTTAATAGAAAACAGAGCCAAACAACCCAAACAATAGAACAAATAAATTAGGTATAGGACCTAGGCCATAAGAACCCAATAGTATCCATCCTTAATATATGATCTAAGGAAGGAAAAGTCTCATTAAAGTAACAAAAAGGCAAATCAATCTCAGGTCCTATTTTAATTAACCAATCATCACTTTGATTAGTCTCTCTAAAACTATGATTGAACCTAATAAAAGGAATACATTTAAGAAGCTTCATAATCTCATTAATTACAAAAAAGTAAGTGTGGGAGCTCCTCTGAACATTGACAATTAGAGAAATAGCAATCTTGGAATCACACTATATCCAAATGAAGTTGATTTTCCTAGAAGTAACCAGTTGAAGACCCCAATATGTTCCCCATAGTTCTACAACCAAAGGAGTACAGGGATGTAGGGATTTATAAAATCCGACAATGAAAGTGTCTTTACTGTCTTGGATAAGGCCTCCACAACTAGTAGAAGTTGAACCTTGAAAAACTGAATCATCGGTATTGAGCTTGAGATGACCATCTGGAGGATGCTGCCATTTAACATAACTTTGAGTCTCATGGACTTCAGCAAGCCTCTTTTGGTTCTCCCTACCACATAAATGAAATTAATCCAAGTTATAAAAAATTTGATGCAATAGAGCCTCAGTGTATAGAGGAGAATTTTGGAAAATAAAACACTTTCTATTTTCCTATAAGTTCCATATAGTAAACCCAAAAATTGTACTCCAGAAGGGATATAGTGGAAAGTTTTTAGCGGAGAGGTTATAAACTAATCAAGCAGATAGGCCAATATTGAAAAAAGAGACCTATTTATCAGGTGTGAGAATATGTTTCCAAATAGTTTTAGCTACCCAGCAGTCCTTAAAGACGTGAATTACAAATTCAGGTTCTTCCATCTAGACCACTCAAGGGAATCAGTTATTTTACAATGAAATCTCTCCTCATTAGTAAGCAACCTTCCATGAGCAATTTTCCAAAGAAAAAAGGAAATCCTAGGGGGCCTTCCTATTTCCAAACTAAATTGAATAACTGAATTTTCAAGGTTAATATGATTAATATCAGAAATTAAGTTGTATGCAGATTTAAGGGAAAAGGTATCATTATTAGAATAATTCCAAAAGTCATTAGGAGACGTGATAAGCCTCCAACACAGTTTCATTATTGAAATTAAGTTGACCCATAAGTCATTAGGAGACGTGATAAGCCTCCAGCACAGCTTCATTATGAAAGCCTGATTAACCATATTAATATTTTTAAAACCCAATACCCTAGTATTCTTAGGAGTACAATTTTTTTTCCAGCCTATAAGGTGACATTTTCTACCATTCAAAGATCTCCAAATAAATTTCTTACAAATATTATTAATTTATTTGTAGATAGCTTTAGGAATAATCATTGTTTGCATAAAGTAATTTGATATACTCATAATATAGGCCTGGACAAGAGTAACTCTTCTAGCAAGAGATAAGGAGTTCATTTTCCAAAGAGCAAGCTTCTTTTTAATCTTATCAATTATAAAGGAAAAATTATTCTTGGAAGGGCTGAGATGACTTACTAAATTGAGAAAAAAACTCAAGGTAAGACTCATATCCTGCCTTAGAGTAGCATCATAGTTTTTTAAAACATAAACACAAGATTTTTCCTTGTTAACAGAGAGACCTGAAGTAGTACAGAAACTTTGAAAGACAGAAATAATTGTCTCAGTATTTTGCCTATCAGCCTTGGCCATAAAGATTACATCATCAGCAAAAAAGAGGTAAGACAGACTGGGACCAGCGAAACTAAAAGAAAAAAGGGACCAATTACCACTGTTGATTTGGTCCTAAATTAGGTGGGCTAATTTTTCTACACACATTACAAATATATAAGGAGATATAGGGTCCTCTTGTCTAATCACCCTAGTTGGTTTGAAACTCTCAGTCATGCAATTATTCCAATTTATAGACATAGAGGTAGAAGATATACAATTATTTATAAGCTCAATAATTTTAGAATTAAATACGATTTCCTGAATGGTGTCAGCAATAAATTTCCATCTAAGTTTATCATAAGCTTTTTCTAAATCAAGATTGGTAATCATGAAACCATTCCTATTTTTCAGTTTATCAAAAGAGTGAACAGTTTCTTGGATAATTATGGTGTTATCCGTACCCTGCTTGCCAGGAATAAAGCTAGTTTAATTAATTGATATGAGATAGGGTAAGGAACCTCTAATTCTATTGGCCAAGATTTTTGTTATGATTTTATAATTGATATTACATAAACTGATAGGCCTAAAGTGTTTAACAAGTTCAAGATTATCAATCTTAGGAAGGAGAGTAATAACAGTATTATTAACAGTATAAATATCAAGGGATTATTAAAAATGTTTGTGACAAAATTTTAGATAAAGGGACCTAAAACATTTCACTGTTTTTTAAAAAACAAGGCATGTAAGCCATTAGGGCCAGGAGATTTATAACTACCTATGCTAAAAAGAGCAGTATTAACTTCTTCTAAGGTTAATTTAGAGTTGAGTATAGTCAAGTCAATTTCTCTAAGGGAAAAATCTAGTAATAATGAGAAGAGAATTCTCACTAGGGTAGGGGTCAAAATAGATATCACTAAAATAATTCACAATAAGGTTTTGGAGTTTTAGAGAATCATACTCCCACTCATTCTTTCCATTTCGAAGGGCCTCAATCTGGTTTTTTTGTCTGTGGATAATAGCAGCCTTGAGAAAAAAAGTTAGTATTTCTATCCCTAAGCCTAATCCACTTAGACTTGTATTGGTGAAACCAATAAACTTCCTCAGAATCTAAGATTTTTTTGGTAATCTATTGAAAGAGATTTCATAAAGTTACAAAGATAGGGATTATTTATTTTAGCTAAAACGCCGGAGATACTCCTAATCCTATTCAAGAGGCACTTTTTCTTTTTGAAGATACTACCAAAAACATTTAGGTTTCAATCAAAAATGTTATTTGTGAAGGTATTAACATTCTCATTCCAGGACTTAGAAGCTACCCAAGAGTGTTTTACTTTATTCACAAAGTCGTCATGGGTCAACAGAGATAATTTTTTGCTGAACATATATACTAACCCCAAAACATGGGTAGGTAAATAATTATGAATGTGATTGATAAACAGAAAAATAAAAAAATTGGACCCTAATTTGATTTCAACTTTACCATTAATCATTGACTAGCCACATTAGAAGAGGCACAGTGCATCATTGTCACTATTTTGTTTACAACATGCCATAGTTATTTTATTTTTACTTTACTCCTTGTATATGCAAACATTCAACTATCTCTTGTATAAATAATTTAAAACATGGAACAACATAAAAATAGTATAATATTTTCATAATTATTAATGAAAATATTTCCTCAAATTAAACAAAATTATTTTTCTTTATTCTTAAAATCCACTGAGCAGAACCAGCTAAAAGATTGTTTCTACAATCTGCTAGCAATTTGAGAATTGGATCTATCAGGAAGTTGCAGACACTCCAAATCCTCGTCATTGATACTTCTAAAGCACTGATCCACCATTTCTTCGCTAACCAGCTCCAGCTTTGAAGGTTCCCACTAGTTAATAAAGTCAAAAAGAAAGCACATTGATAAACTCATATTCGTATATAACATAATAATTTAAATCTATGTTTGTTTTTGGTTAATAATCAAAATCTATCTTGAAAGCTTAACAGAGATACTGTTAAATTCTTACCTTTGGCTTGTTGTCTTTATCAAACAGCTTTGCTCTTGAACCCTATGCCCACGCGTTTTTTGTTGAACCAAAGGGGAATCATTAGTCACATAAAATTCATCTCTATATTCTAATTCATTGTTAATATTCTATCATTCTATTGTGTCTATGTCATTATAAAATAAATAAGAGCCCTGTAAAAATATTCTAGTTATATATATATAACATTAATAAGTAGTACATTTTTATTAAAAATTACGGGAAGGACAAGCTTTTATATTTTTTAATATTTTTTAGTTTAATTATGTTAAAATAGAAGAATTACAAATATATTTAAACTTATTTTTTATTTATTAAATAATATCCATTGTTTTCTAATACAAGAAAGCAAATACTAATTTAATAAAAATATATGTTAAAATAGTAATATTATCCAACGGGATTGTTCTTTACGAAATATACACGTTGTCTAAATCAAATATATATATATATATATATATATATATATTAAAAAATAAAAACTAAATATTTAAAAAATATTATTACTGTGTTTTTAGTGTAATTCTTAATGCATCTTTTAACATTATTTTTAATAAAAAATATTTTAAATTATACGATCAATCCTCTTAATTATTGACTTAAGATGACTCGAATAAAATTACTTTCTTAAGTGAAGTTGCTGATATATATACCTCAAAGAAATCATTGCTAACAGTTCTTCTCAGGAAGTGGAAGGCAATGTTATAATCGCGATAAAGACATTGATCAATGTTTTGTGCCTGCCCTTTTCTGATCTAAAAGCCATCAAATTCATGATTTCAGCACTCACTACTATTGCAAAATCAGCATAATTAATTATTACAGTTAAATAATATTTTAATTTTATGTTTAATCCAGAAAAAATTAGTAGATTATATAATCATTGGTTTTGTTTCAATTGGGTAATAACATATATTTTTTCTCTTAAAAAATTATTGTTTATTTCTTTTTTATAAACTTCAACAAAAATATAACATTTTTTAAATCTAGTTTAAATAATGTTTTGATCTCTATACTTGACTCGAATTTGTAAAATAGTCTTACATGTAAAAAAATTATAAATTAGTCTTCATAAGTATATTTATTTTTGATTTAATCTCTGCCATTAAGTTTAGAGTAAAAGACGTTAAATAAGTAAATGACTAAATTAAAAATAAATGTAGTATGAGAATTAATTTACAAATTTTTTACACATGCAAGGACTAACTTACAAAATTTTACGTATAGAAACTAACTTATAAATTTGAGTCAAAGTATTTTTATAAATTTGTGATACATCTTTGGTTTGTATCTTGATTTTGATGGTGTTGAGTGAGTGGGTAAAGGTATAAATAAATGCGTTGGTAATTTTGTTGCTAACAACAACAATGATGATGCATTAAAAAACGAATAAAGTTTTGATGAGTGATTGAGGTTTCGGGTAGGTGGGTATGGATGTAGGTATAGGTAAAAGTGAGGGTGAAGATGGTGAAGTGGTTGAGAAGAGAAGAGAATTTAATGAAGATTATTAATAGTTGATTGAGTTTTTGGGATGAGAAGTTAAGAGAAAAAAAGACTTTGATCTCCATTGAAGTTTACGCAAAGGTAGAAGAAGAATGAAGATAGTAGAATTAGAAGTGAAGGCGAAGGGAGGGTGTGGGTGAATCACAAAATTAATATACAAATCAAAGGTGTATTGCAAATTTATAAAAATACTTTTAACTCTGATTTGTAAGTTTATCCCTATATGTAAAATTTTGTAAGTTAGTATCTATATGTAAAAAATTTATAAATCAATCTTCATATTACATTTATTCTTAATTTAGTCCCTTACTTATTTAACGTCATTTACTCTAAACTTAACGACAGATTAAATAAAAAATAAATTTATATATGAAGATTGATTTATAAATTTTTTATATATAAGAACTAATTTACAAATTCAAGTCAAATATATGGACCAAAATATTATTTAAACCTTTAATTATCTATTTTTTTATAATTTTCTTCTGCCTCCTCTTGACCTCACATTTGCTTTTGTCACCATTCTTTTCTATTTAAATTGTAACAAAAATTTTCTTTTTTCTTGTTTCTTTTTTACTCCGTTTACATTCACATGTCTACAACTCATTCTTGGACCTCCTTCAAACTTCAACAAAATCTTTAAAAAAATTAAGAAACGAGCTAACAATGGTGGTACTAAAGTCATTGTCATCACTTTATTTTCTATCTTTTCCTATGATTTCAAAAATTAACCAAAAAAATTCAACATAAAAGTTTTTTTTTTTTTTTTTGGTTAAAGTCTAAGAAGAGAGAAATGAGATGCAGGAAGATGTGAATAAGGGATAAAAAAAATTAAGGGAAGGAAAGAGAGAATTTTTATAGAAGTTCAAAAGGAAAAAAGAATGTGTCATAGAGGCATTGGATAAAAGGTAGGAGAAGGAGGAAGAGAAAAAAGAAATTTGTTTGTTAGAGTCTAAAGAGAAAAAGAAAAATGGATCATGCAAGTGTGGATGAAAAGTTAAAAACAAAGACAAAGAATAAAAGATTGTGGAGAGGTGGATGAGGGATAAGAGAAAAATAAAATAAAATTAGTAAAAAATACTGTATTTTAAATGGAGTTCAAAAAAAGAAGATAAACAACAATATTTTTAAGAAAAATTATTTAAAATAATTTTATAAGTTAAAAGATGAAAATAATAGAAAATTAAATCAAAATAAAATTAAGAGTTAAGAGATTAATTTACTAATTTTAATTTTAATTTTAATTATTATATAATGTGAATCTAAATGACTTGGATACTCATTAATATTGAGACCGATCATTAAGGGAGTGTTCTATATATACTTACTGATTTCAGAAATATCTTGAGGCTAGTTGGAGAAGATGAACGCATGTAGCTTAATGCATTTGTTATCCATTTTTCTGCACCATTTTGTAATTCATTTTCCTATAATCATATGATTCAAAATCTTACTAAGTATGGCACAACGGAAGAATTAATACATAATATATGTATCTTGTTTGGTGCATATGTGTACTTAATTACTTACCAAGGATTGAATTATTTCCTCCACCGTCCCTTTTGAGAAACATCTGTTTATAGCCTCTAATCTGCTTTTTAAATCAAGTGAAACAGTTCGTCATCAAATCTCAAAAGGCACAAAATTTTAAGAGAAGGATCATAATTATTCAAGATCATACCTCCTAAATGGACTCTGTTCTTTCACATTTGCTTTCTCTGCGAACTTTTGTATAAGTGCAGCAATTGTTGAAACATTTGAAGTATTAACAGCTTGTAAAGCATTTTCCAACGAATTTAGTTTCTATAATACAGAAAAAATTGAATGATATTATTGAATAATAATGCTTAAATTTACATTATAAACTCAATCACAATATAACTATCATAATGGGAGTATGTTGATTGAAAAACTAGAGAGCTAAACTTAGGTTTACCTCTGAAGGCACAAAATGTGTGGCTAAACCACATGCTGCAATTTCTGCTCCATCCAAAAGTGCTCCAGTCAACCCTAAGTATTCCCCTGCATATAATTGAGCATGAGAGATAAATTGTAGGTTAATCAATGCACATCTATGAATAAAAAGAAAAAAAAAAAAAACATATACATTTTCTTACGACATCTAGTAATTTTATTTTTTTTCAATTAATCCCTTTTGAAGATAAAAAATTTATGAAAAAAAAATGGAAACAAGGGAACCATATAGCTCACTAAGACTTCATAATTATAGTTACCTTTTTTTATTAATAGACTCCTGTCTGTTAATCCTTGTTTTTCTTTTATTGAGAAACCATAGATAGAAAAATGAATTTCTAATTGAAAACTAGATTTCAACAAGCTAATTATTAAGCTAATCGATATTAAAGCTATGAGAATATATTGTGCATTATGAGTAACGTATAAACCACGATCACACACACACCCACATATTGCTACAAATAAGAAAAATGTGTAATCCCCTTACCAAAATAGCCAGGAAGCCTAGAGAGGAAGTAGTTTGCACCCACATCAGGAAAAAGTCCAACAGATGCCTCTGGCATGGCAAATACCTACGTACAAATAATAATATATGTCTTGGTAGAATCTTAGAATTGATGAAACGTAATTTTGGTTTAGTTCTCATGCCAATGGGACATTTACAAGGGCTGATCAAACATTTATATTCTAGAGTGGCATGCTATATTTGTCATTTAAAATTTTCAACACAGGTTCAATAAAACTGAAAGATATCAGTGTATAATAATTCAAGAAACAATACTGAAACTTAATTTAGCCACAATATTTTTTGGATGATTAATGAAAAATATCATTTGGTGTTCTAACTTCTAATTAATTAGGTCTAAGAAGTGAAGAGAAACATACAGCCTTTTCAGTCACAACCCTGAACCTTGTGTGTATGGACAGACCTGCTCCTGCTCCCATCACAACACCGTTGATGAGAGAGACCTGATTCCACAACCATTGAAACAAAAGTATTCAAATATGTGATAAAGATATTAAAGAATTTGAGCAATTTATAGATAAGTTTTAACTCCAAAAGAAAAATAATATAAAAATAAATATAATTTTTTTATAAGTTACAAATTATTTATGCTTTTATATTTTAAAAAAATTAAATGCCAAGACTTTTAAAATAATAAAAAAGGATAAGTTGATTTAAATTTATAAAAAAATTGATTTCTTTTATTACTTAATTCTTAACTCTTATAAAATAACAAGTTTATTTAAACTCTACTTAAACCAACTCACCGTAGGCTTCTTATAGGTTGCTATCCAATAATTCAAAGTAAGCAATTTCTTGTAAAAGCTAGCAGCATAGGTCCAGTGTCCTGGAGAATGACATATGTTGTTAAATATCACAAAAGGATTTAATTAATTAAGAGTTAAGACTTGTTTGTTTCCAAATTTTGAAAAAAAAAATTAATTCTCAAACTTTCAATTCAAATGACATATTTTAATAAAAATATATAATTCAGATTAATTTAATTATACATAAATTTCAATTTCATTCACCCGTTCAAAATAAATTTCAGCAAATTTAATTTTAAACTAAATAAACACTGAATTTGTTTATGTGACACCATAATCTCAAAAACCACTAAAATAAGAACATAATCATTTATAGCTTATTTGTACTTCTTATTTTTTGAACTTCATAATTCATCATGTTATTGTAGCATGCTGCAGTGTTAGGGAATTTTCTCATTACTTCTGCTAGTTTAATTTCAGATAATTCATGTACCTGCAGCTGAAGATGTAATCACTGATATCAGATCACCACCAGCACAGAAACCTTTTCCGTTGCCCTAGTTAACACCGGAAAACAAAGGATAGTTACTACAATGATGGATCGATGTGGAAACTAATATATACAACAATCATCTTACCTCGCACTTCTATCTCGTTGTTGTATAAAAACTTATACAAATTAAGTAATTGTACAAATGCAACGTCTTTATAAAACAACGTAAATATTGAACTAACTAAACAAGAAAAAAAAAATGAAGAAACTTCATAAACAGCTCAAAAACAAAATATTTGACTGAAAATGAAACTGAAAATTTAATATCATATGGCCATTCCCATGATCAATCCAACAAGATAATAAAAAAAAGCTCCCCATGTTGCTTTACCTTCAATATCACAAGTTTGACTGAAGAGTCAGTCTCATACAACTCTAAATTCCTTTTTATCTGACAAATCTGCAAAACCAAAAAAAAAAAAAAAAGTGTCATTCACTTACTACGAAAGGACTATATTCTTCTTTTGATTTTGTTCACAATAATTCATTTTTAACTTCAAATTATCCTTGGTCACTCATCCATGCATCTAGCATATGAAAATTATATCCTTTAATAGCTAAGCCACTTGAGACCTCAAATGAGAGCTCCATTAATTTTCCCGTGATCTTGTAAATTTAAAAATAGTAGATCCTAAGCAATGTAATTTATATTTGAGATATTTAAGAATTGGCTCTATGAACTTACCATTTCATGGTTAAGGATATTTAGCTTCTGAGGTCTATTTAGTGTCACTACCTTCACACAAGAATTTCCTGTGAAAAGTACCTATAAAGAAACAAAGTCATTCAATCAGAGGAGATATATAATATGGAGCTTGGTATAATTAATTAATTTGAATAATAATTATCAAAGTTAATTTTTTTTCTGTTGTCGAGTCCTTCGCTCTTTCAGCTCTGTAAATTAGATTTTTCTTGATGTATAAATCCTCTAGTATAAAAAAGATTAACATTTTCGGGATAAACAAGAGGGACAAAAGAAGATGGTAGTTGCATATCAGTGAGAAACAAGTGCTTTCAAGACATAAACAAGAGGGACAAAAGAAGATGGTAGTTGCATCGGTAAGAAACAAGTGCTGCTAACTAACCACCATATTAAGTACGTACTTGTCTACTTGATATAAAGCTTATGCACCCTTACACGATATATATATATATATATATATATATATATATATATATATATATATATATATATATAATCTTATTTTAACAGATCAATTTTATTATTCTAATAAAAAGATTGATGGAATGGAATATACCTATTAAAAAAAAAAACTTAATTCATTTTTAAAAAAACTAATTTCAGAAAAAAAAAATCCAAGTCTTACAAGAAATATTTTAATTTGATCATATGTTCCTAGATAACATTAAACATCTTAACACACATGACCTAGTCATGCTTAAATTTGGACAGATACAGTGCACGTAGTTAATAAGATTACATATCTGAGAGTAAACCCAATATAAAAACTGAAATTGAATAGGTTTTGATGGCATAATAAAACACAGAGCTTAATTCACTTATAAAGAATATCTTGATCATATTTTTAGTTAATATGATACATCTTGACAATACATTTAGAAGATTATGGGTACTGTTGTTCAGAAGCGTCATGAAAAATTATAATTTACACAAAATAAAAGGATTTTTCAATGGAAAGCAGGAAAAAACCTGGTTTTGTTCTTCGTTGAAGTTGAGACTCAAGGCCATCGTTGCACAGTACAATATTCTACAATGAGATAGTTTGGAAAGTGAGGTGCATATTTGAGCTGAATAAACTCTTATTTAAATCTTACGCATATATCGAATAGGTCGTCGGCTTCTGCCAGCTAATGCTTTATGGAAAGTGTTAATCAATGTTCAAGGCACTCAAATTAAAAGTAGATTTTTTTATTAAGAAATTAATAATGTTATATTTATTTTATAATTGTTAATATATTCTAACGTAATTTTTAATAATATAAACTTGGTGTATCTTTATAAATACGTTAAAAATATATAAATATATATATATTTAACTTGAAAATCTTTACAACGTAGTATTATTAAAATAAACGTAAATTCAAGCATGTTCTTATCATTTATTAATTTCTTAATCAAAATTCTTAGAATATCGATTAACAAGACTTTATTAGGAGTATTAGGAGATTTGGTCAAATTCTGTTAATTGTTAAATCAGATTATGTTTATTTTCTTAAGTTAGATTTTCATTCCTATTTTTTGGCAAAAAAATATTTGTACATATATGTTTAGGAGGTTTCCTTTTATTTTAAAAATGTGTTGTGGTGATTCTTGTAAATTACTGGTTGTAAACCTTGTATATATTTATTCTTTCAGCCAATGTAAAGACAAGTGCCTTTTGTTAATTCTTTATGATTTTAGAGTTGGACTCGGTTATGGAAACGACTAAGAATGAAGGTGGGTCACGGTGGAAGAAATAAATCTCTCCTTATGATCTATATTCAAGTGACAACCTAGGAAATCTAGGCTTTTTTATATAAATAATATAATTTTTAAAACTATTTCTTAAAATAAGTTTAATTAAAAACTATTTTTCTTTGGAGTTTTTATTTGTCATATCTATAAGTGTACTGAAGTTCCGTAGATGATAATATTTTTTTATTATTTTTTAAAATGATGTACTCACTCTTGTAATAACACGTGTTAAGTGTAGATTTGGACAATGGTGTTATAGCTAACTTTAGGACGATGCTGCTATTTACTTATCAACCGCAATATTAAGTGAGATGTTGAAACGTGTCATATGTTTAAAAATATTTAAATTTAAAATTTAAGATTATAAATTTAAAAAATACTTACAATTTAAATTCAAAAATATTTAAGATTATAAAGTTTGAAAAATAAAATTAGAAATTGTAAGAATTTAATTTTAATTGTAGTATTAATGATTAATAAAAAAAATTTATGATAAGTTTAATTGACATTTTTTTTATAAAAATATAAATTAAATTTATAATTGATTAAATATAAATACTCAAGATTTAAATTTAAAAAAATTTAAAATCATGATTTTAAAGAAATTAAAATTATGAATTTAAAAATAATGATCTGTTCACTTTCTTCTTTTTTTTATTCTTTTCTTTCCTGCCACCATGAACTTAATTTTATTTTAGTTTTAAACAATTATTTTTTAAATAATGATCACATTTATACAGTATAACTTTGTTCACACTTATAATAATTAATTATGTTTACATTGTACCTAACATAATAATTTATAAATGAAAATTAATAATATCAAATGCTTATATAGAATCAAAAATTTCAATACAACTTAGAATCTGATTACTGAAAAATAATGAATCTTATTACCAAAAAATTTGATTTTTTAAGTGTATTTTATTATATAGAATATTCATCATTTTACGTAAAATATCTCTCATATACTTATATGTCATGTTTATAAAACTAATTTAGTAGTCAATAAATTAGTTCATTTGACACTCTTATCAAAACTCTTTCACTTTATGAATGATTTTTTATTAGACTTTCTAGTTCTAAATAGTTTAGATATTATATAAACTTTTTCTCTTTAAAAAAAATAACAATTTATAATAAAACATATAGATCAATTAATAAGGATTGTTCAAATTTAATTGGATAAATTTAAACTTTTTAAGAGGAAAAGGAAGGCTTATATAATGTTTAGTGTTTAGAAGCTTTTAGATAAAAGAATAAAAGTTTATAAATTTTTCAAAACCTTCTTCATCTTATACTTTTAAGATTTTCTATTAACTCCCATTCCTCTTCTCCTCTCCTCTCTTCTCTTACGTTTCTAATTCTTTCTTTTTTTTCTTCTAAATCTCAAACAAAATCTTAAAAAAAAAATTTGCTACCTATATGAGTCTTATCCAACTTGAACCGGAAACGAGAATCTTATCTGACTCAAACCGGATTAACTCTGACAAAAGATATATATTTTCGGGCAATTTTTTTCGCTTGCAATCATGTGATAATGTCAATGATTCCTTTTCTATATGAATCAAAGTCCTATATTCACGCAAACTGACATGAAAATCATGCCAATTGACCAAGTTTTAAAATAAATTTGAAATTCAGATTCAATTTAGTCGAAGATCCACGCTGATTAACATACGCAACATTGAAATTATGAAAGTTGACAAAATGAAACCTGTCTTTTTGCCACTGTTTGTGTATATAACTTAAGGAGGTTGCTCATATGATTTTAAACACATTCTGATTTAGATTGCATTGAAGTATAGTTCTTCTTAATTCTTATATCAAACTATGGCATGTACTCCGCATGAGTTGCCGCTTGCTGTAAAAAGGTATGAACAAGGAACCATTATGCAACTCTTGCTTGTGCAATATGAAATAGGGATTAGGGGTAAAATCCATAATCGAAGTTTCTTCTCTTTTTGTTTGTTTCAAGAACTTCGTTTTAATTAAAAATATCATTTTGTTAATTTCAATCACTAAGATTAATTTTAAGCATATCAAAAGAATAATCCTTTTTATTAAAAAAATTTATTATATTAAAAATACATAATTGTAATAAATATTTTTTTCTAATGAAGTTTCACTCTTATTATTTACTTAAGCCTAGTCTTAAAGATAGGTTATTATTTTCCTTAAAATAAATTGCTAGCTACTTGACTTTTAATTTATAATCCCATTAATAATATTAACCAACAAAATTTATATGGACTCAAATCACATATTGGATAAACAAACAAGAATCACCATTAAATATTTATTCATTTTTATTTTTTTAGCATCAGTATTTCTTTTCTTCAGAAACATACCTATCACATTAATGACCATATAAATATTCAGGAAAAATTACTCCTCTTTTTGTACATTCTTTTATATTTTTTTATCACATCTATTCCTATTTATTTATTTATCTATATATATTTTTTCATTTACGAGGAGTGAGACATATATTACAGCAATTATGAGCTCTCGCTCGCTCCATGTGCTATTGATAACTTGATGTTGATCATCTTAGCGTCGTTTCTATTTTATTATAAGTAAGATTTATGTCTAAGATCGGATATGGGACAAGAATAAATTAGAGGCAACATGGTTTGGATTCAACTCAATTTGAAATGAAGCAATCTCGAATTTGACAAGTGTTAACTTCTTTTTCTTTATATTATACGAGGTTTGAAGGCCCAGAAATAACACGAAACTACTTCATTAATTTAGGAAAATCTATGCCATGTACATTTTCACTTGACAGAGGGACAAGAGAAGCGCTTTGTAACAATCTAACTCCAATAGGATAAAGTTATCAATTTTGCCACTCAAAAATATATAACAATTTTAATTTTTAAAACAAGTTTAATTTATTTTAATTTCATAATTTTTCTGGTATTTATTGATAAATTGATTTAAAACGATCCTACATAACAAAAAAAAAAGGTAAAAGTTGCTGGTAATTTTCAATTAAGAGAAATGCAATCAATTGCAGGTATTTTTGTTTTTCTTTTCTTTTTCATGTTACTTCGTATATACAATTCTGTGCAGACTAGAAGGAAAGGTAGCTTTGATCACTGGTGGGGCAAGGGGCCTTGGTGAATGCATGGCAAAGCTCTTCTGCAAACATGGGGCAAAGGTGGTGATTGCAGACATTAGAGATCAATTAGGCAAAGCAATACAAGATAGAATTGGAGCTGAACATGCATTTTATGTACATTATGATGTGTCAAAAGAAATTTATGTAGAAAATGCAATTAACAACAATATCCAAATATGGAAATTTAGACATAATGGTGAACAATGCTGCAATAGCTGATGATGCTAAACCAAGCATTCTTGACTTTTTGGTGAGTGAATTTTAACGTGTTGTTAGTGTCAATCTCATAGGTCCCTTCTTGGGAACTAAGCATGCAGCCAGAGTTATGATCCCTGCCAAAAAGGGTTGCATAATAACAATAGGAAGTGTTTGCTCAAGTATTGGAGGGGTTGCAACTCATGCATACACAAACTCCAAACATGCTGTGATTGGACTCACAAAGAATACACTGCTTCTGAGCTTGGAAAAGTTGGCATAAGGGTGAATTGTGTGTCACCTTCATCTATAATGTGGCTGCAAGAGAGTTCTTCAAACTTGATGATGATGGGAGTTCAAGTGTTTATTCAAATCTTAAAGGGGTTGCTTTGCTAGAAGATGTAGCACAAGCTGCACTCTTTTTTGCTAGTGATGAGTCCAAGTACATTGGTAAACATAATATAGCTGTGGATGGTGGCTTTACTACTATCAATCCATTTTTTGGCTTGTTTTCGCAATCTAAAATTTGAACCTTCAATCCATCTTTTCGTTTGTGTAATTGAAACATTAGTGGACATTATCTAGCTCCTAAATGGGCCATGTTGCTTTAAAACATTTGAAGTAATAAAAATAAGCCTAGGCACCATCTTAGTCAAAATTATTACAAAAAAATATATTAATTTTATAATTAATATACAATTTAGGATATGTTTGAGAATTGTATTTGAAAAAAAAAGAGTGAGGTAGAAGAGAGAACAAAGATTTAAAAAAGTAATATAATATTTATCATTGACTAATTTTTATATAGATCTCAATAATAATAATAATAGTATGTCGAAAAAATAAATGTCAAAGAGCGTGTGTGCTAACCCATGCTTGAATGCTGTCATGATTTAGACTAAGGTTTAAACTTTAACGAATGCGATCACTTCAATTTTCCTGTACCTAAAGAAATGGCCTTGCCTAGCTCAAGTTTAATGAGATTAAAGATTGAACATGACATCCGTGCTCCTTGATCTCTAATGCACAGATCATGGTGCTTCGAAGAGGGTAGTTTTTTTCCTTGCACACAAAGTAGTTTCTCGTTTTGTACTAATTAAATTCAACACTCTCCAAATCGAACCACGAGCATAATCTTGGAGCACAATGAAATATATATAGAGAATTGGGTAAGAAAAAAAATTACAAGTTTTAACACAAGACATTGATGACTTAATAATAAAACACCCGAGAATTTCACATTGCTCACCCTATTCTCATGGAAGCTCATAGTATGTCAACATTGTTAAGACCAAGGATGTATAAAAATAACAAGAATTTTAAGGTTTTATATATATATATATATATATATATATATAATCCTACTTGATAAAGCTTCATTCCTGAGTCAAACTTTGATGACTTCATTTTGTTTGATTGGCAACATAGGTTCTGAGAGATGGTGATTGAGTGAGAACATCAGGTGCAATTGTTGTATTCTGAGTTCCACTCTTTTGCTGCATTCTTCTCCTAGCAATGTACCCTCTTACCCATGGTGTAACATCCTCATTGATTTTGATCATGATGAAGAAAATAATGCGGTAGATGACAATCATACTGAAAATCACACTCAAATCTATCCACTTGGATCTGTTGACATCAATTTGGAACACTTTTTCCAAGATGTACTCACCTGGAATCCTTGGAAGATCTGGTGTCTGATTGTCAAATACCAAGCCCCTCAAATCATTTTGGTACTGACCCTGAAAGAATTTTCATTGTTTTTTATCATCAAACTATGCTACAATAACATCACATGGCTTTTTAAGAATTGATCTATGCATGTTCTCGTTACCTGTAATGCCCAGAAGTGGAAACTGATGTATGACATTGGGTAGCGCCAGACTGGCTTTGGTATATCATGTGGGAGCCTAAAGTAGCCAGAGACCAACATGAATATGCCCTGAAATTTGAAAAATAGAGAAGAAAAAGTCAATTAATAAAGCATGATTATGTGGATTCTTTAACAAATTTTAATCCTCACATGTTGAATTTTTACATGATCTGGTCATGTGAAAACTGTGTCTCTCTCTCTCTCATCATACTTAATAAATAGGTAGGACTCCCTAATACTTCTTTTTATTTATATGTATAGTTAGATGTTTAAGAAAATATTAATTGCTTACTTTTCAACTGTGCCCTTATTTCTACCTAATTCTTAAATACTTTGCACACTTATCATAAATGAGAGAAAAATAATAGCAGAGGTTATATTAGTGTTTCCAGAAGTTTTGATATGAACAATTATACTAATTGCATTCCTTAATCTGTATATTATCCTCCTAAGAGGATAGATAAAAAAAAAATGGAGGCAGTATTATTTGTGAATTTTTATAAAGTGGGTGATGGACAGTTTGACACACAAATTTCACATGACAAGTCCATTTGTTACTGCTTATTCAACATGGCATGCAATTGGTGTTCTGTCAATTAGTAAAATAATAACTGTTATGTATAGAAAACTAGAATTTATACCAAACAATTCAGAAAGGTTTCACATTTGAAGGTGGTTTGAAAGAAAAGAGAGTAATATTTTCAAAAGAAATAATTTAATGTACATGTGCTTGGATTAAGGGGGAAGTGCATGAATACCTGAATCCCTGCTCCAATAATGATACCCATGAGGAAGTTGGGGACAATGCTAGCAATTGCCATCATTAAGCTTTCAACAACTGTGACACTGGCATAAAGGCACAACACAAAGAACAAGTAATGCCAAAATCCAGGGTGTAGGCGAACCATGAAGTAACAAATTGTGCCAGAGAGGAAAGTGATTAATATCAAGAAGGGCATTGCAGATAAAGTGTTGCTTATGACAAATGCAGTGACACCATAGTGGCCATTAAGCCTCTCCCTTTGGAAAACCTGCATTGAAAGATATTAGTCATCATATCACTGCATCATGCATGCGACTAAAGGTTGCATAGGAAACCAAACATTTACCTTCATGTCTTCAACAAATGAAGGGAATCCACCAATTGACATGAAGGTGACAAAACCAAAGACAAAAGATGCACATGAACCCCTAGCCTGTAAGAAACAAAACATGGGAACTTCATACAATAATAAAGAGAACTCAGAATTGGTTATTCTTGCGTGAAACTTTGGCTTGGATTGCTTCAATATAATAAATATAAGTACCAGAATTGAGTTGTAGCCTGTGCCCACGTTCAAATAAATGGATCCAATGCAAACAGTGACTACAATGTAGATAACAAGCCTAAGCCAGTAGTATCCAAAGTCCCTTGACATGTTGATGAATGAACGTTTGGTTAAGGTGTAAGACTGCATCAAGAAACTGGCCTCACTTCCTCCTGCTTCAAGAACTGTTCCCTTCTGCAAAGTATGTGAAAAATGCACCTAAATGTCAGACACAAGGTCGAAGACTTGAAATTTACTTAAAAAAATGAACAAGAAAAGCAGCATATAATCATGCATATACTCAATTGCATAAATCTTAAGTTTGGTTATTTTTCATCAAATAGTAATAATTGAAAAGCACTTACAACTTTGGATATCTCATCCACTTTTTGTCTTGCAGCATAAGAGTGCTGAGAAGTGCGGTAGTAATCAATAAGAGTTCTGATTGCTTCAGCAGTAGTGATCCTGTCCAGTGGATCCTCACTTCCCTCAAACTAGAGAGTAAGGTTTATAGTAAATATTATCAAAGAAGTTAAATATTGATGAGAAATACAAACTAAGAAATCGAAACTAAGGTTGCCATAGTTAATTAGTAATTATAACAATCTTAAAAAACACTGTTTGCTGGTATCATTTGGAAAATGGATCCCTCACATATTAAATTTTAGTATATTCTGTTCAAAACTTGTGTCTATTTGTTTTTTAATAGACATTAAATAAATGGATCTATTTAATGCACACTAAGAGAGAAATAGATCTGAATTTGAACATGACATGTCATGCACAAGTGTGGACTCTTCCCTATCATTTGGGTTACAATGGCATTTGTTTTGATTTCTTCCAAAATGATACTTCAAAATAATTCAAAACTTTTGGACACAGTTTTACAACCAAAAATTAAAAAACACACTTTTTTTAGGTGAGGAAATGGCTAGTAATAATTAATGACCAGATAGTACTGTAAAAGTCAAAAGCAAAAAAGTACAATACCCTGAGTTTCATGGACCCTTTAAGAGTGGCTTTGACTTTGTCAAAGTCAGAATTGATGCACCTAAGGAAATGATCAGAAGGGTTCCTCAAAGCAGGGCACGGAAAGCCAGCTTGTGCAAAGAACTGCAGACAACATCACTTGCAATAATCATAAAAAAGCTTCATTTTCTTCACAATCATAGTACATTTAAGGAACTTGGCAAAAAAGAGAAAAAAGTGGAAAGTGAGTTTAACCTCATATGCTTCCGAAGCTTGGCCAAAATAAACAGTTTTGCCCCCAGAAAGCAAGTACAATTGATCAAATAGTTCAAACACTTCACTACTTGGTTGATGAATGGAAGCTATCACTGTTCTTCCATCCCTTGCCAAGGCACGTAGCGTCTGAGTCACAAAGAAAGCTGAAGCACTGCCACAAAAACAATATTCCAAATAAATCAAGACATGAATTCAGCGAAAGTGTCATTTTTACTTTACAAATTTGATCAATAGGATACATCAGAAACCAAACATTCTCCATCAAAAATATTTTTTAAACAAAACTGTTATCCCCCTTTAGAAAGTGCACACAATTTGATGTTATATGTAAAATAACAAAAAGACGAAGACATAAATCCGAAATTGATTTTAAAAATACTTGAAGAGTTGGATGTCTTTGTTGGTACAGTGTGTGTGTGTATATATATATAATAAGAACCTTTAAGATAAATATGTATAAAGACAATGCATGGCCCATTATTTATTGCACCACGTTTTCCCTTTCCACAAATGTATAGAAAGTTTATTATTAAAGAAATGGGCCAAAAGAAACACCTAAAAGACAAGCACACACATCAATGAACACCTCCTAAACATAACAACAGAAAAGACAAATTACTTCAAAGGAGAGTGCAATAAACTAGCAGCTGACTCAACCGCTCCTTCAAATAAATTTGTAAATATTTAGACTTCTATTTAAAGTTTAAATTTGATATATTGTCATTATAAAAATGCTTACATCATGTAATAATGTTGATACATCATGTAAATTTTGACATCTTAAAGCTTATTAAATTACAAGACCACGCATCATCGAATAAAAATATTTTGAACTCTGATACTTAAACTCCCTTAAAATAAAATTAATTTTCTTAATAATTTTATTTTATTTATGTCACGTTAACAAACACATAAATAATAGGAAAAGTTTCTTTATGTAGAGAAAGATTAAACGTAACATCACTTTGTCTTTTTTGCTATATAAACGTAACATCAATAATAGGAAAATTAATTTGCTTAAAGTGCTTAATTATGGAACACAACTACATGTATTTGGTAGTTAAAACCAAATTTACGTGAGATCAATGCAAATCATGATGCAAACACATAGGACAAGTGAATTAAATGCACATAAAGTGATATCTAACAACCTGTCAAGTCCACTAGTTGGCTCATCAAGGAAAAGTAATCTAGGCCTCATCAAGATTTCCAAGGCAATGCTAACCCTTCTCTTCTCTCCACCACTGATCCCACGCAAGTGCCAATTTCCAATCACTGTGTCAGCACAGTCTTGAAGACCCATTGCCACAATGGTACTCTCAACCAAAGCTCTCTTATCTGACCATGGCATCTTATCCGGCAAACGCAAACGAGCTGAGTATGAGATTGTTTCTCGTACTGTTAAGGTACCAATCAAGTTGTCATCTTGTGTCACATAAGCCTATGTTTGAACCACATGGACCATGTTAGGAACCACCCTTTTGGCTAAATAGCATCATATGCTAAAAACAGAACATATAGAAAAATAAATAAATAACCTATGTCTTGAGGTAACGCTCTATACATCTATTATTCTGTTAAGTATACAACAATCCAAATTACTCTCAAATCTAAAGGAAATAAAGATGACCAAAGTAAGTAATATTATCATCAACTAATTATCTCTATTCTTCAACTGAAATTAACAGAGACACATCCAGGTAGCATTTAGCACAAGGACAGAACAAAATAACTTTATTCTGTTATTTTAAAAATATTAATATCAGTCATTGACTTTAAACATTAAAAAAGGTAAGATTTTAAAAAAAGCAAATATTTATTACATAAAAAAATACAAAAATAAAATAAATGTTTTTTTGACAAAAGCTCATTACTTTTGCATGTTTAAAATTTACCCTAAGACCCAATATTAACAAAACCATTTTTTTTTATATTTTAAAATGTTCTCAACATAGAATAAAATTCATATATTATATTCAGTTTGTTCTAGCACATCTACCTTACAGAGAAGGCAAGAAAAGAGAAAAAAAGAACTCACAGCAGTGCCAAAAGAGAGCTTGGCTTTTCGACCATTGAGGAGGATGGTTCCTGAGAGGAAAGCATTTGCAGCAAGACGACTAGAGAGAGCATCAAGAAGAGTAGATTTTCCTGAACCTGAAGGTCCCATGAGAGCAGTGAAGGTTCCAGGTTCAGCATAACCAGTTAAACCCTCCAAAACATTTTGTGTCTCACCATTGCTAAGAGTAACCATCACAGTTAGATCCTTCCATGTGAGTCTTGCTGAGACATCTCCAATGATATCTGTGTTAGCTTTCTCTCTCCATAGGGTCTCACTCAAAGGACTCAGCCCTGGAAGTGCTGCTCCATTTCCTGAAGGCCTACTTGCTTCTATCTCCATAGCTTCATGTGTTGCTTCAGTGTTTCTCATCACTCTCTTTCAAATCTCTCTCACCTTTTAGGCTTCAATATACCACTATGGTCCAAAGGGTGGGGAATGTTTTGCACCAAAAGAAAAAAGGTAACCAAATCCAAAAGGCTAAAAAGACAACCTAGTAAGGAGGAGTGTGTATGTAGAAGACGTTATTATAGGAAGAAAAGGTTTGAGGCAAGGTTCCAAAATTAAGGAACAACAATAATAATAGGAGTGAGGGAGGGAGGGAAAGAAAAGTGTGAATGGTGAAATGGGAAAAGTGTGTGATTGGGAAGTGTGTTGAGAATTTTGACTGAGGAAGATGTGATGATTGAAGGGTTGGTTGTTTTACGAGAGATGATGTCTCATGCAAAAAGAGCCTCTTGGAGTTGTATAGATGAGTAACTGTAGAAGGGTTTTGTTTTGGCATGAACAAGAGGAAGTGATTGGATCAGAGATGCTTTATATTCTGCTAACTGATGTAAGGGATGACCACAATAACACATCCTCTACATACTATACTACTCATTCTTTGGGAGAGCTCAATTCTCGAAGGAAATATTTAGAGAGGAAGCAATTAGTTTCAGCCATTATATGGATGCAATTAATGGGTACAGATAGTTGTTGGTAGCTACATTTAATGCCAAACCGACCCCCATTTAACCCCAAGGGATGTGTTTATATTGTGTGTGCTTTTCCCTCCTATGACCACCCTTTCTATCCAAAGAAATATTAGTAATAATATCATTTTTCTTATTCAATATTTTTTCAAAAAGTTAAAATTTTATAGAATATATTTAAAAGAGTATATTGTTTAGGCTCCTTGTATCTATCTGTTCAAAGACTGGAAGAAGCAGATAAGATCATAATTTTTGCATGTCGGTTCGAACCTTCCTTTTTATGACTCTTAACTTTACTACTAACCTATAAATTCAGTGGCACATTTTACCCTTTGTTACACACAAATATGCAAGGCAAGAACATGGACCTAATTAATTTGGCATGCCCTGTGAAGGCAAACCAAACCCTTTCTTTATTGGTAAGCAAAACTAGCAATTGTCGAAAGATGAGATTGATTGAGAATAGGGTGTCCACGTGAGCTCATGGGTGGACCAATTAATACCAAGTTGTATTGATGAATGAACGAATGGCCATCGTTGTCATTTGGTTACAAAGGCATTATGACAAGCCCCTCATTCGTTCTTTTTTTTTTTTTTAATCTTAGTTGGGAAGATGTTGGAAGCTCAGAATTGATTAAAAGCCATAAATGATGGATTCATAAGAAGGAAGAATGCAATGTATACGTAATGATGTTTGCAAAAGGAATTTGAATTCTGTCGTCATGTTATTTTCTCTTATTTTACGATAAGATTCATTATTATCTAGTTTTATTTTAACATATTAAAAATGTAAAAACTTTTATGATTTAATTATTAAATTAAATCTTATTAAAAAATTAACTGTATATCAGTTTATAATTAAATAACAATCTGAAAATATTTCATATGAAATGAAATTCAAATGAGGCTAGTTACATCACACAAGTCTCATTCTATATTTAATGAAATTTTAGTAAAGTTCACCTGTTACTTTTTTCATTTTTATTTTTGCGAGGTCCTATGTTAAACTTTTGTATGTTTCATGACCCGAGATAGAGAAAAGGAATACGAGAGAATTAAAATATTTATTAAAGCACCGTCATGCATGATATTATAACAAAGAATAACATGTTGTTTTAATAACACAGAAAGTGAAAAAAAAAAATTACAACATCAGTAAATTATAAGATTTATATTTACAATATATTTGAATTAAATTAATAATATAAAATTGTTGGCATTAATCGTGCACTAAGATGAAAATTCTAATTTGATTAACGTGCATTAAATAGAATAAGAAAATGTGAGAGTGGGTGAAAGTTGAGGTGAGAAGCGCCGTATAGAGTATGGGCAGTAGGAGTTGCAATTAAGGAGTAGCATATGTTGAGCACATGAGTTAGGTATCAAAGAAACTGGTAAATCCTATAACTACTAACTAGTTATCCTCATTCTTAATTTCTTAATAATCTAAGTGATTGTCACAAGAACACTAATTACTCAGTTTTACCAAGGTAACATTTTAATTTCTGATGCTCCTACGTTATGACTTGTCAACTAATAATGTCTGTTCAAAAGGGTAGATAGATAGATATAGGACATAGCCATTCCAACGTTACATTGAGTGTGGTTACTCCAAGTTAAGTTAGGTAGAGTGCTAATTGTTTTTCAAAAAATTAATCATGTTAGATTTTTTAAAATTTAAATTTAGTATTAATCTCTATTATTGGAAGATGATCAATATTTCTGACGTTGGCTTCAAGTTCAAAAGCAAGGGTTTCACACAAATCCTGGGTATTGATTATGCAAATCTCAACAAGAAATTGAAGAATCTAAAACATTGAGGGCAAAAATGCTTCAATATCAAAATTGGCCCAAATACTCCTTACAAGGCCGAAATCTGTCTTTTATTGGGCTCAATCTATTTTATAAATCATGATTTATGATGATATTTTAATTTTTTTTCATAACTACTATATGTTTTTAATTTTTATTTAATAAATATAGTCCTTAAACCAAAAAATAAGTAATGAAAGAATTCATGTGATTGAAACTCTAGTTAATAAAATTTTATTTATTTATCAAAAAGTTAAAGTTGTATCTCTTAATTCAATCCAAATTGTGAAATATCAATTTGGATTTATTTAGTTTTAATAAAAAAAAAATTCAAACTAATCTAAACTTAACTAAAAAATTTATACTATTAACATGAATAATTATAGTAACAACAATGATAGTAATAAATAGTCAAAGTCAGGATTAAAATGAATGTGATAATTAATAATAAAATTATGACGGTAATAATAACTATTATAGTAGCAATCAATAATGATAATCACAGTAATTGTAACAATGATAATAAAAAGAAGACAGTGATGATGCAATGGTGGTGATGGTGAATGGTCATAACATCAACTACAAGATTGCAATGTGACAATAGTAATAATAATATAAAATATAAAAGGTTTTTTGCAAGAGACAAACATATTAAATGGGTTATTTTTACAATTAAAAATAAAAATAAATTTAAATTTATTTTGAAACTAAAATAAATTTTAATTCAACTTTATTTTAGCCAAACACTTTTTTATTTAAAATTTATATTTAAAAAAGTAAAAAAAAAAAAGTTAATTGAGCCTTAAATAAAATAAATAAATACAAGAGATTAAATTTTTCATAATATCGAAAATTTACTCCTTCCAAAGGGTGCTTGTGAATACCATTTTTTTTATCTCCCAGGATTACCTCAAAAAATTTATTAAAAAAATTTATAAAATAAAATAAAATTGTTTTACAGAAAAATGGAAATTTTTGGAAAAAAACAAGTTTGGCTCACGGAAACGGAAATCTGCAGTATGCAAGCTCATACCCAGCATCAAAAACTGATTTAAGCATAAAAAAGGAAAAAACTCAGATTTTTGGCATTTTGTAAAAACCCTAAATGAACCCAATATAAAATCTCAAGCAAGAGATGCGGTGAGGGGGATTTTTTTCGGAGGAAGAAAGCAAAAAAATTTTCAGAGAGAGAAAGAAAAAATTTTAAGAGAGGGAACAACAAACTCTTAAAAATAATCCAAGAAGAAGAAAGGGATAAAAGAAGAGACCAACCATTAACCTCATTCTCTTCATTTTGGTTTAGATCGGGAACGTTTGCTAACTGTATTTAAGGTATTTTTCTCCTTCATTTCTCCTTTCTTTTTGCTTCGCATACGAAAGTTATCTTGCTCTAGTCGAAACTCTGGTAGACTCTTATAAAAATGAACTTAGGAATAGGAACTAAATGATACAAACCTAAAGCTATTCATCCCGAACCGCTTCATAACGTTTCATATCCCATGGTTATCTTTTATATATATTATAATTAAAATAAAGTTGAAAGGACCTCTCGACGCATTGAATGTCGAGAGAAATGAGTGCTTGTACCACTGTACTATTCAAAATTGAATTCCAATGCAATATCCGGCGCTTTTTTTTTATTCATCATTATATTATGTTAAATATGTTATTGCTTTTTATTTATTTGGGTTTTGGGCTCGATAGCTCACACTTTAAAAAAAAAACAAATCATTTTAGGCTTCTTTTTTTTTAGCTTATTTTTTATATACATATATATATTTTTGTTTTGATTATTATTTTTGTTTTAACTTATTTCAGTAAAATTAGTCTATTATCTTTTTTTTATATATATACCTTTAAATTCAATTTACTTTATTTTACGTTACTTTTATAATATTAGCATTTATTTTAATATTTTATTTGATTTCTATTTCCACTTGTAAAAGGTGTTTCTCTTCATAAAAAAATTAAATAAAAAATAAATACAGCAAATTACTTTTTATAATTCTTGGATTTTTTTTAATATCTATTTCATTATTTATTCATTATTATTGTACCATTATTCTTCTTTGTTATTTTGTGTAGATTTAGAATGTAATTTGATATACATGTCTTGTTTCTATTTGTTTTGATGAATAACTTATGTTTCTTATTTTTATCTTTTTGTTGTATAATCAATAATTTAAATAATAATATAATTGCATCAATTTATAATACTAACGTATAGCTTCTCTATCGTCATGTATTATAAATTGATAAAGTCTATGTGTGCCTACGTTACCAAGACTTTATGCAATATTAATTTATCATGTATTATCTTAAATTAATTAGTTAACCACTTTAATAATAAATCAAAGTATATTTTCCTTCTAATTACTAACTTACTTACGAATCAATCAACTAATTTAAATCTAAATTGTTTTATTAATAAAATAATTTATAATGCTAATGTGTAGCGACTCTACCTTCATGCACCGTAAATTGTTAGAACCTACGTGTACCAACGTTATCTTTGATTTTATATAACATAAATTTATCAAACAAAGTTTTAATTTTTATTATTATTATTAAATATTTTTTTAATCAATTGAAATTTATTTATTCATTTCATTAAATGAAATTAATTTCATATTTTAAAATTTCTTGAATCATATTTCTAATTTTAACAAATTAAATAATAAATCATTTCCCCATTTTTATTATATGATATAATCTTTTATAACGTCGATGTGTGATTTACATTGCCTTCGATTATCCAAAAATTATAAGAGATTAACGTATAGCTTACGCTATCTTTAATTCTCTTTCAGCATTGATCATAATCAAAATTCAAATTCAAATATTTAATTTACGAATATAGATATTTTAACGATTTGCAATATAGTTGTGTGATCTTCCTTCACTTTCTGTATTGTTTTCTCGTAAGGTACATGTATAACTACATTATCTTGTATCTTAAACATTATAATTTTATCAAAATGATTTTAATTTTAAAATAAATTTTTCTTTTAATAAACTTAATTATAATCAACTAATTTCATAATTTTTAGATAGAACTACGTGACTTTGAGTTCCCCATTGTACCTGGGGATACGTAGGAGCGGGAACCGAATCCATCAAGTCA